TGCCTTAAACGTGGGGGAGAGCAATGTATGTGTGTGTATATGCCTGGCCTGGATAACAGCAGCTGTTACAATGAAGTTCTGTAGAGCTTTAAAACCAAAGGAAACCCATTTTCTAGTTGCAAGCACCCGGCCGTTCTCCTTGGCAGCATGGATGAGCACTTCCCATGACACGAATGCCAGGTAGGACTTTGCCATGATGCAAACGACCAAAGCAGCAGATAACAACCCAGGCTGAAGGTATTTTACAGGAGATGTTTGCCTCCGAGAGTGATTAAACCTGAGCCAGGCAGAGAAGCCCCCAGCGGAGGTGACTTTGCTGGCTGGTGCTAGATGGGGAGGGCTGGCAGAGCTGCATCGTCCCCGCACGGAGCAGCACCGCTTGCTGCCCACTTCCCCCTTTCCTTCTGGCACCGGCTTATTTTCAGCTTTATGAAGCAACTGTAGCCCAGTGTGCTAACGGGAGGTGATGACAGCTTGGTAGGTAGGGCCGGTGGTGCTGACAGCTTGTAGCGTTACACCTTCCCCAGGAAAATTGCAGCAATCACCTGGCAGGGTGGGGAAAAAAAAGTGTTTGCGCAAAAGCCGTGATCACTGCAGGGATCATGGTCCTGCTAATATTTATTCTAGCAGATCCACCGTGTTTGTAGGGACGTGTTTCAGGGAAAAGCTCACAGCTGGGTATTTTATGAGGGGAAGAGTAATACAAAGAAATGTTGCTGAGGGATTTCTCCAGCTCACTTGCTGTCGGGCCTGCCAGCCTCCAGCCCCTGTCCCTCTCAGGGACACACGCTCAAGGGGGGGAAGAACCTGCGGAAAAGGATGGATGTCGGGGGTGAGTCAGTTCCCACAGCCTTCCTGGCTTTTAGCCTTGGTTGCCGCATGGTGCGGAGCATCACGAGAGCCCTGCAGGAAGGAGACGTAGCCTGAGCTTGGTCACCACCATGCAAGGGCTTTGCCCTGGAGGTCAGCTGGCAGCCCTGTGGCTCGTTCCGAGTAGCCAAGGGTTTCTTATTTGTATTTTAAAATTATTTTTCAGGTGCTTGCTTTAGTAACATCTCATTTTCTTTCTCTCCCTGGATTGCCTGGCATCCTGGATTGCTGCAGCTTCGGGGAGAGGTGGGGGAAGATAAACCAACACCTCAGATGGTCAGAAATAGGTTATTGTGGTTGTGAGCAAAAAGTGTTTTGGGTGGAAGGTACGTTACTGATGCTCGCTGGGTGAGGTCAGATGGCCACAAGCATCTCCCAAAAGCCACCTGTGTCAGATCCGGGAGGATGTCTGGATTCCCATGGTTTCCTTGAGATCAACAGCAGTTGGGATGCCTGCTACCCCTTTCAGTCTGGCACTGAAGGACAAGGTTGTGGAGAGGCTCGGAGGGGGCCCAGGGCTGCCTGGCCATGGGGAACAAGCACCACATTGTGCCACCAAAACTGCTCTTTGGCCGATATCAATAGAGGACTTGACTGCCCGGTTTTGCCAGCTCAGCACTTCAGCACGCGCTGAATTCACCCAATAAATAAAAAATGAGCAGAAAATTCCCAATGGGTTGAGAACAGACGCTGCATTGATGGTCGTGGCTGATTCACCGCAGCTCCATGGCCAGTGCAGGTGATGCTGGCTCGGTTATCACCATCTTGGGGGGACCCTTCCCCAAAATGTCCCTCCCTGCACCCTTACAACGCCGACCCTGGCTGCGCAGCGGCCATCCCCCCTGCTGAGAAGGTGAGGCGTGGAATTTTGTGGCAGCCGGTGCCTGTGAAAACTTGCTTTCCGAGACAAGCGCTGGCAAACCTGCGTCAGAGGGAGTGCCTCTGCCCGGCACCCGCACGTGGCCTTCCTCCATGAGCAGCCTCTGCAGCACTGGAAGTTGCGGGGCTCTTAGAAGGGTTTTTACATCCTCTTACAGAGGAGGTGAAAATATTACCTGGAACGACTCAAGGCTGTATGTGGAAAACGTTGGGTTGCAGCATGTGTGGATTTGAGCAGGGAAAATGAGGCTGTTGGCTTGATTATCTTGCCAAAGTCCAATAAAATGCAAAATTTCCCTGAAAGTCAAGTCCATTCATGGCCGTTGTCCGAGACATGTCCAAGTGTGGAAACACTTTTCATTTGGATGGAAAGAGCGTGCCATGGACCTGTTTAGTTGCTCTCCAGGTTGCACCCTCCTTCATTCATCATTACAGGCATCGCCCATCTCCTTCTCTGAAGCGCTGTAGAGCATCTTCCATCCTTGCAGGATGATCTAGCCCATCCGCAGCAGTCCGGCACGCCCGCACCTGGGTTCTGAGCGCAGGGAAATGCTGGAGCCAGGAGATGAGCGTGATTAGCAGAAGAAGAAAAATTAACATTCTCAGAAGTGCCAGAGTTTTGTTTGTGGAAAGGATTTGCACTTCTGAGAGGGCTGTTGACTTTCAGGAGACTTAGGCTTTCAAGTACCTAAATCACTTTTAGAACTATGCTTGCAAATTTTTGTAAGTACTTAGAAAATATTTCACCTATGTCCTCAGGCCTTCTCCAAGTGCAGTGGTAATTACAAGTTGTCAATTAACCACAATGTGCAGATCTCTGCTCGAAGCTGTTATGCATTCAGCACCTAGAAGACAGACCGCATGGAGAGGCACGGCTTGTATTTAAAAGATAGGAGAAGGATGACATGGGGACTGAATGCAGTTGGGTTTTTAGAGGACAAATGCCTGGTTTTTCACATGGGCTTGGGGCCTGTGGGTTTTTGGAAGGTTTCAGAGACTGAAGGCCATGTGAAATGTAGTCTCCCAGCTTGGGCAGTGGCCAGCTCTTCCTCGGGCAGCAGGAACTTCTCCTTTCAGATACAACAGCCTCTGCGTCATCTCCTGCAACAACTCGTTTTACCGTGATGCGTCATTTAGCGCTGTGCCCAAAGCCTCTCAGCAGCGTGTGGTCAGTGGGTACGAATTCAGCACAAGTACCTTGGATTTCTTAAGAAATTATTGGAGTGTGAAGTAGTTGGGGCTTTGATCTGCATCCCTCAGGGGATACGTGAAGGGATGATTTTGCTTCATTTAGAGCCTGGGGTAAGTTATTTTGGTGGAGTTACTCCCAGCTTACCTGGATTTGAAAGAAAAAAAAACTCAAGCAAATGTGCATAAATTCCCCAGGAACGTTGGTGGGGATGTTTGGAGCAAGGCTGTGTCTTCAGGCTGCATGTTTGGTCATGAACCACGCAATGGCAGACTCTGCTGGGTACCGACACTCTCCTGGTTACTCCGGCTTCAGTCTGGCCCAGGCTCTTGGAGAGAGGGTGTGATGGAAACAGCATGGTGTTTGCCTTCCCCCAGATAAAAGAGACCCAAAGAGCTCTTCTACACGCTCCTTGCCTTCCCCAGGCAACCCAACATCCATGCTAGTTTAACAACATTTTGTCTAACCTATACTAACAGGTTCTGGTGATGCGATTTTACAGCTTTTGGAAATCTTTAGCAGTGCTCCAGGATCTTTATTGTTGGAGACACAATACACCCTCCTACACCCCCCACTTGCTGTCTCCAGCCTAAACCCCGCTTTTCCTAAACTGTTCCTTGTAGGTCACCTCGTCTGGACTTACCAACTTCTTGCTGCTCCGGACTCTCAAATTGCTGCCGGCGTCTGTCTTTGCAGATTTAACCCCACCAGACAGCTTGTTCAAGAAAATACTGATTGATGCCAGGCACTGGTGAAGCCTCTGGGGAATTCCACCTGATCCATATTTCCACCAAGACATGAGCTACCCAAAACTTATCATGGAGTGTAGTTTTTATCCTTTAGAGTAGTTTTTCTTCATGTGCCCATCTCCTACAGCCTATAGACAAAATATAAGCTGTGCACCCATGCTGCGATCTTCTCAACACAGAGGTTTCAGTTGACACTAAAAAAAGCCTCCCCCAAGATGGGGATCTTTAAAAGCGAGGAATCTCCTAACCCCGAGCCCTGCTTCATTGCAAGTAGGCTTCAGGTTTCATACTGCATATAAATCCCACGTCAGGAAAGGCAAACGTAAGGAAGAGGGAAGCGCTGGACACTCGTGTGCTCATACCTATTTATCAGTGTGGTTTCTGAGGATTTGGTGGCCACAGATCAGGTGAGCATCTTCAGCTAGCAAGGGGTCTGCCTTCCCCCCGGGTATTTATTGGATGCACATTCAGGCCCATCAGGTGGGACATGGCCAGGCCAGGTGTCTGTGAAGTGAGTGTACCATCGCACGCTCGCTTTGCACGCTGGCTCTTGCGAGAGGCTTGCACAAGCTGCTGAGGTGCTCCACGGTCTTCTCCTGCTCAGAGCGTGCGCTCTGCCCCGCAGCCAGTGGGATGGCCACTTTATTTCCATCGGCATTCACTAATTAGCGTTTAGCTTGCTCCTTTAAAAAACAACCCGGGTAAAAGGCATGCCCTGTCAGGTAGGCACGTTTGTGGTCAGACGGCATCTCCAAGAGGTTGTGTCTGCTCTGCTGTGAAGGGTTTTGAATGCCTGCAAGCTCGTTGTCATTGTCGGAGTTTGAAACCTTTTTGAAGACGTGACAGTACATAAACTAAATCAAGTTTCTGGCCAAAGCAACGAGCCACGGAGCCTCTTCATTACAGAGGCAAGGGACAGAGAACTGACCTCGCATGGTCTTTAATAAGGGAGGACAGCCATGAGACATCACAGTGGAGGGTTTAGCAGCACACAAGCTCCAGCTGCTTAAAGAAGGGGCTGAAGTTTCTCTTAGCTAGTTGAATAAATGGAGTTGTTGGAAACATTCATTTATTTTTGGCAGAACAGCTCTGTACTGCCTTACACGTGCGACTGGGAGGTGTGCAGGGTGGAGGTGGTGATGAAGCCGATCCGGACCAGGGTGGGAGTGTTTTTGATGCTATCGCCTGTTGCAGGGATGGGAGAGGCGCAGGAGCTGCCATGGGTGGGGAGGTGGGGGTTTGCAGCGGCTGCCCAGCTCCCGGGGACCAGGCAGCCGCCTCTCTCAGCTGCCTCTTTCCCCTTGCCTTTGCAGAACCGCCAGACTTTCAACAGCCTTACCTGCCTTAGCGCCGCAGCCGAGGACGGCTCCCAGCAGCTCCCCGGCCCCCAGCCATGGACCGTGGCCCCCCGCTCCCCAGATGTGATGCCGGGCAGGACCCCCGCCTGCACCCCAGTGCCAGAGCCGCCACGCTCACGGGCCGATGAGCGCCAGTCCAGCAGGGACGACCTCTCCTGCGAGGAGGAGGAGGAGGGTGGCGGGAAGGAGGAGGATGGGGTGGCGTGGCGGAGCGGCGGGGGGGCTGCTGAGAGCCTCTTCCAGCTGGATGGCGAGATAGATATTGAGCAGATAGAAAACAACTGAGGAGGGAGTGGGTCCTCTCGCCCCGGGGTCGGGGGGCTGCCAGCAGAGCCGTGGAGGGCTCCCCACTGCCAGCGTGGGGTTTGCGGGGGTCCTGCCACTGCTCCCCTCCTGCCAGCTGGAGGGGACGAAGCAGCTTTGCCAAAATTTCATCAGGTATTTAGAGCAATTTTTGTGCGTGCGTGTGTAAATCTTGAAATTCTTTGTAACTGCTGTAGCCAGAGATCAGCTAGTCGGAGGAAACTGCCTGTCCGACTGGGGAAACCAGGCGCAGGGATCGCCAAAAACTTGCATTTAGTGAGTAAATGGCTTAAGCCAACATAGGGTTGGGTTGATGGGGCCAGCCACGCTCCTTTGAGTCCCACCCGTGCTTGTTTATTAGGGGATGCACAAAGAGAAACCACCACCCATGGGACTGGAAAAAGTGGGGGAAAACCAGAATATTGAGATTTTCAAACCGAGCGCTGGCTGGTGGCTGGAGGGGCAGCTGTGGCTCCTCTTCTCCTGCCGCATCCCATTTGGCGCCAGCACCCGCTTTGCTCCCCACGTCCCTGGCAGTGCCGTGAGAAGGAGATCACAAGTGAAGTGTTCTGCTTAAATTTAATAATGGTAAGAGCTGGATTTTTACTTTTTTTTTTTTTTTAATTTTCCTTTTCCTGATGAGGAATTAAAGGGACCCCCAGCCCACACAGCTCCAATGTGGGGCAGCATCCACAGCAGCGCTCAGGAGGTGCTGCCCGAGGATGCTCAAATGCCTTTCTTCCCTATTTTTTTTCTTCCCAGTCCCCTCTCTCAAACTCATCAGGAAAAAGCCCCAAACAGGCTTGGTGTTGCCCTCGCATGGGTTCCCAACACCCAATTTTGAGCGGGGCTGGGCCACTTACCCATTTACCAGCGGCTGTGCCCTCTTTGCTACCCGAGGCACAGCTGCCACCCTCTTCTTTTTGCTCTGTCTTACTGTGAAGGGGCTGCACGCCCAAGGCACACCGTGGGGTTACTTGATAAAAATCAGCTGGTGAAAGGCTGAAAATGCAGGTAGCAGCACTGAAAGTTTTTCCTCTTCCTGTGCCTTTTTTAAGCACAGATAAAGTGGTGACCATTACGTTTGTACGATATGAATTCTCTTTGGTAAAAATAAGCAGTCCACTTGCTAGCAGGTTTAGAAGGACACATGTATTTTTTTTTTCTCCCTCTATTTTTTTTGTTTGTTTGTTTAAAGTTTGTTAGGAAAGCTGTACGAGTGGCTTCCAGCATCTTCTGCAGGTTCCCTCAAGCTCAGGGTTTACCTCCCAAGCTCTGCAAAAGCGAGAAAGGAAAAAAAGTCATTGATACCAACAGCAGTTGAAGATGTGACATTTATAATGGCGTTCAGCACCCCCGTTGGCAAAGCTTTAGGAGTCCATAACTCAGAAAGGGCTGAGAGCCGCTGGTACAGGTTTTATTCATCATTTCTGGTTATGTTAGTGCACTTTTTTCTGCGGTGGTTCAGGATGCGTGTGGTGTCTCCCATCACAATGGAACCCATCAGCTGTTATATAGCTTTATCCCTGTCCTGGCACCGCAGAGGTTTTGCTGGTGGCAGTAGTCATGTCCGCTCCCTCCAGGCCAGGTGCTGGCAGGCAGGGCCAGCCCCAAATATTTGGGGAGGGAATGGCAAGGATGTTTTTTCATTTTGGAGAACCCTCCGGCTCTTTTTAAGTGTCACTTGATGTATCGTTTAAAAGAAAATACATCTTGGCTTCATTTTTAGCCCTCCTGTAGTGGAAGGCGCTGCCTGTCTCAGGCGTTTTGGGAGGGTCCAGCCACGCCAGCAATTCCCCAGGCTGCGGCCGCCCCTCTGGTTCGTGCCACCACAGCGGCATGGCCACAGCACAGTTCTCGGCTTTGAGTCTTCCTGATGCTCGATACCCCCCCACCACTGACGCATCCCCAGTCTCGGGGAGCACAGCTCCTGCTGGCCACAGGCACCTCCTCAGCTGCCAGCTCCCGTCGGACCGAAAAAGGGCAAATTCACCCAAATCCATGTCCGGCTGCTGCCGCAGAGCTCAGGTGGGCTCTCACATGTGCATCGCTGGGGCTGTAATTCCTAAGGGCTTCTGTTTTCTTTCCAAGGGCTGCTACTGGTGCCATGCTAACCCCCCTCAGTAGGAAGGTGACCAATGGACCACTACCCAGCTGTACTCGACGCAGCCGTAGCATTCAGTTTACATACAGCACAACCCGTTTGCCTTACTAAAGACGCTTCTCCAATGAGTCATGGCCTTATACTGGGCACGTTAGCGTAGGCACAGACTACAGTTAGCGACGGTTTTGAGGCCACGGTGGTGTTCTGTTGGATATTTCGTTGTTAGGTTTGTATGATTTCATGTACTTATTCTCAGTTTAAGAAAGCCTTACTTTTTAAAGTTTTTTTTCTCTCTCTCTGTAGAGGTAAAACATTTGTGGATTTATATATATATAAATATATATATAAATAAAGTAATTAAAAATATTAAATATAATATAGTATGTGCCTCAGATTCAGGGGACATCCTGTTGATTGTAAAGTCAGAAGTGGCATTGCTCCCCGGCACGTGCGGGAGGTTCAGGAGATACAAACCCTATGCCCGCAGTGACCGGAGCGGGAGAGCAGGGCATCCCCCCCGGGAGTCCTGCTTTTGGTTTTTAATGGACTTCACCTATTATACAGATGCTTTGGTAACCCCCCTGGCAAATTCCTGCCGGCTGCCAGAATGTGCTATTAAAGTAATATGCAGACAAGGGATGTTACTCCTTGCTAGGTAGCTAAAACAGGCTCATTATTGTGAAGAGACCTGGTGGCTTGTCCAAGGCGTGACCCAGTCTGGCCAGCAGCCACTTCAGGATGACAGCAAGCTGTGTCAGCAGCAATAAGGGTTCATCAGTATGAGTCCTGAAAAAAAAAGGATTTTAATAGGAAAAGTCTTAGCATGCACACAGGCAGTTTGCTGTGTGTTTGCAGATGCAGCTCTTTGAGCCTGTTCTATGAAAGATTACATTAAAAAAAGCAAAAAGAAGTATTTGTAAAATAGATTGTAATTTTTCCACGTTATAGCATAGCCTATTTGGCCAATAAAGTTGTGTTTCAAGTGCATTGTTGAAAAGCTCCTGGCTGAACAGGCTAACAGGCTTATGTAGGATGTTATAGGATTGTAGCAGTGCTTTACAGCGTTTATGGGTTTGATGTTCAAGAACTCAAAAGAAGAGGATGGCCAAAAAAAAAAAAAAGAAGAAAAAAAAAAAGCCTTCTGAAGCTATGACCTGTAGTAGCCAAGTCTCGCTGGCAATTGCACAAGCGCAGCGGGATGTGCGTGTCCCCGGAGAGGGGCTGCCCGAGGTGCCCCCGCCGGTGCAGGCTGCCCTCTCCCCGGGCGGGCGAGGAGGCTGCCCACTCGTACCCCCTCCATGACTTGATTGCACTAGAGCAGCTCAGTCTCAGGAAATTGCTTGTTACTTTTACTGTGTAAATAAAGCTTCCTGGTTCAATAACCGCCGGCCGGCGTCTTGCCTCTCTGTGCTGTCCCCATGGCCGGGTGCTGCTGTGGGGTCAGGGGCGTTGGGGACACTGCTGCCCCTCGGGGACGTAACAGCCGGATTGTGGCACCGGTTGGGGTTTGATGGGGCAGAGCTGGGTGCGGGTGCAGGAGCCTCACATGCCTCTCCTCTCCTGGAGGGGGTCTGGCTGCACCTCCTTGGCATCTCCATGGGTGCTGGGGGGGGGTGTGTGTGTGTCCCAAAAAATGGGTGTGGGTTGGGAAAGCTGGGGCCCTCCATCGAGGTGTCCGTGTCAGAAATAGTAAGGATGCCCCAGCCTTGGGTTGCACCAGAAAATGGACATTTTTGGGGGTTCATGTGCAGGCAGATGCGATGCATCCCCCCGTGGTGGGGGATGCATCCCTCCCAGCCTGACACTGGCTGTTATTTAGCTGTAACACAGTCGAAGAGGTAACAGCAAAATGCAAATCAACATTTAAGTGCCAAGTAGCACCTTACACTTTGTGTTTAAGGATAGAGATAATGTCTCGCCCCTTAAAATAAAATCTAAACCCGAGCAAGGCAAGAGCCCACAGCAGGGCAAGGGCATACAGGGTGTTAAATAAATTCTTGGGGAAACAGGGTAATACCTCCCTACAGCCTTTGTAAACCAGAAGGGAAAACAGCTGCGTTTCCTTGAGTGAGCAAACAGTTTAAAAAGTTTCATGACAGATGGCAGGATGTTTATCTGCCTAAACTTAATCAGACTGAAGTGATAGGCTTAGTATAATAGAACAAAAAGGAAGAATTATAGGACAAAAAAGAAATTCTCAGTGATCCACCATAGCCGTAACGTTTGACCAGGGTTTGCAGCATCCTTCGTGTGTGCGTGGATGCACACAGTGCTGTACACTTTGGCTGAACCACTACCCAGAGGATAAAAAGATACCAAAACAGACCAAAAAATTGCACCAAGGTCATTTTCCCAGATGTGGTTTATTTTATTATAATTTAATTTCTAGCCCGCTTTCCCTGCTGTCCCCAAGGGGTGCTGTGCAGCTCAGTGGCCAGCTGGTAGCTCTGAAAAACAAGGGTTTCCAACACTCGCAGGCTGCTCCAGGAACAGGGAGCGTCACTTCGGTGTCCTTCAGGGACTGGGGTTGTCTTCAGCTGTTAGGACCGCTGGAAACATAGCTAAAATTATTGTTTACCTCCCGCTTGCAAATGTAGAGAACAGTAGCTGAATGCAGACAGCGGCCAGAGCACACTGCCCAAGCATATGTATATATAAATATATGTAACATATGCGTAATTGCATACCTTTCTGTGGTCCCATGGGAGGTCTGAAGCAGGTTAAAGCCCAAACGGTCTCATTCCATTCCAGTCTAAAGCACGCAGCCTTGCCTAAAACCCAAGGGGGTGCAGAACTGCTGACACGATGGTTAAAAGGGGACTTTTGCCTGGAAAAGGGTGACCCTTGCAAAGCTGGCAAGCGTCGGTGAAGGTGGGCACCCCCTGCTTCCCCTGGGGCAGAGGATGTGATGGAGCAACCCCCAATCTCTAATTCTGCTCCCTGGTTTGAGCTCCTATCCCTGCCACGCTCTTGCCACGTGCAGCGTAGCCAGGTGTTGCCATGCATGCTGCAATAACTGTGCTGTAAAATTGTCGGGTGAGAGAAACTAAAAACCCCGGGGATCTGCTGGAGTATGGCAATGTCCAGCGGTGGGGAGCAGCTCATTTTAGCAACGCTTATTCTGATTAGAAAAAAAGAAAAATCTCATGCCCGTCCCTGCTCAATGGAGCATGACTTGGCAGCCCTGCATGTGCTGAGCACTCCCTGGCAGCCCTGCATGTGCTGAGCACTCCCTGGCAGCAGGATGGGGCTGAGCTGGGGCTAAACTGATGAGGCGGGTGTTCGACAGGCACGCGGTGCTGGTGCAGAATCAGTCCTGGGGGATGTTCAGCGAGTATACCAGGTTCGCCCCGTTCAGGTAGCTACAGCCATCAGGGAGTGGTGTATGCCTGTGTGGTTTTGCTGTCCAGGAGAACTGGAGGAAAGTTTAGCAATGACTACTGAGAAGGAAAGAAAGTGGCTGAACATTTCCACATAATATTTATAAAGCAGAATTTATAGTAGTGGCAGCAGGACTGATGGAGCTGGTGCTTTACAGAGACTGGTTCCCAGTTGGGACTGGAAAAGCCAGGAGCGCCAGCACCGGCTGGAGCCGAGTTGCCCACGCTGGCCTTCATGGCAGGGCCAAGCACGCCTGCCCTGCCGTCCCGTGATGCTCCCCACTGGAGCACCTGCCGGCGGGTGAGCTGAAGCTGCGCGGGGCTCAATGCTGGCAGCGCCCGGGCGTGGGCGAGCCCCCGGCTGCACGGCCAGGATTTTAACGGGAAGGGGTAGGAAACCCACATCCCCCCCCCCACAGCCATGTCTGCCTGCAAGACCCCCCATGAAGAGAAGGAAAAGCCCATCGGTCCCATGGCCCTCACCAGCTTATTCCAGCCAGGGAAAAGCATTTCAGATCCTCTAAGCATCCCTGCCAGTGCTGATGTGACTGAACACAACGACAAATGGGCCAGATCCGCAGGACGAGGTTTATTCCTGACTGGACAGCATGGTTATTCTGTAATGATGTGTTGCAGCATTACCGGATTCCCGTGTCCTAACCTGGGGCAGTGCTGGACAGGGGCTAAACATGGCAGAAATGTGATTACCGGCTTGCCAAGGGCGCAGGGGCTGTCCCCCTCCCCAGGGTTTTCATGCTGCCCATAGTGAGAGGCACGCAGAGGACCCCGCAGAGTGGGGCTGGGCTGGCACACACCAGCCCAGGGCTTGGTGGCCTCCATCACCCCTCAAGGACATCATCCATCCCATCTCAGGCACCCCAAAAGGCACAGAAAGGGTGAGTTAAATAGCAAAGCTTGTCCATGAAGGGGTGCCGGGTCCCCCGTTTCCCACCTGGACACCTCTGGGCTGGGTCCCTGGTGTGAGTAAAGAGTTAAAGGGGGCAGAGCCGCCCCAGCATCGGTGGGAGGCAGAGGCCCCTCACCACCCTCAGGGCTCCCCTCGGGCAGACAAGGCTCAGCCCCAGCTGGGAAAGAGCCTGGCACTTTTGGGAGAGCTGATTTCACCTGCGCTGGCAGGGGCAGGGCACCAAGGGGAAGACGTTCAAGACATGCCAGAGGACAGCAAGTTCAGTGTTCCCCTGATGAGGCCAATAGATCATTTTACTACCATTACATGAAACACTTAGGAACGCAGGCGTTCACCACCCCGGGCAAGGCTGGGTCTGGGTCTGTCAACGTCAGATGGAGGTGGGAGAGGACGAAGCGGCCTCACGGAGGGGCTGCACGCAAGGCCTCCTCTTCATTCCTTTCAATCACTCACAGCGCCGTCGGTTTTACAGCTGCTGGAGGATAATGTCAACTGCTTCGGCGAGGTTGTTCACGTACGCGTCAGGCTTCACATGGGGGTGGTTTTCATCGCAAGGCCTGCAAAGGAGACAGAAGGGCATGGCTGAGCAAGGACGGTCTCCCAACCAGGTCCCATATCCCCAACCGTCCTGCTGCTGCTGTGCTCACAGAGCCCAGGGTAGCTCCGAGGTGGCCCCAGATGGAGCACCCTCAGGTGAGCCTGGGTTTCACATTCCTCCCTCTTCTGTTTTATTTCTCCCTTTTCCCCCTTTTCCCCCCTCTCTCCCTACCTCCCCCATACCCAGGTCTTTGCTGCATGCTATGGTAGATCCAATGTGCTTGTGCAACTGAGCTGGGCAAAACTTTGCCAAGCCTTGTATGGAAGACAATCTAATCTACATCGTTAACTAACTAATCCAAATTAATGCACTGCATTTTACGTGGCACTTCTTCATTCAGCCAACAGCAGTATCAGACAGGGATCGCTGGGAGGACACTTCACTGCAAGTCTAGGATCCTACGAA